CAAGATCCTTGTGGTATATAAAAGTAAACTGGCTCCATCTAAATTCGAAGAGCCGCTTGTTTATATTTGAGGGTCACAAATGAATGTTGATTTAGCCAATTATTTTTTTTTTTGGGTAAATGATTTTTTTATGGGTAAAGCCTATCTTAGTTTATAGAATATATATTATTACTATGGGAAATTTAATATTAGCGACGTACATGAAGGCAAATAATTTTTACTTATAGAAAGTATTTGGTTTTACATTTATAATATTATTATTTGTTAGTTAGAGGCATATAAATGTTGCTTAAAATTATTAAATTATGAATAGATATCAAATTGCACAACCGATGTAAATCTCACAAACTACATGTTGAAAAATGCTTATTCCCGTTAGATGGCATATATCAAATACCAATCACAGTAATTATGATGCCAAAAAAATGCTTTCATTCATGCATTAATTAAAAACTGATTGCAGAATGCGACCACTCAGATCAATTATATTTATTTTGAAACACGATTAGCATTCGCATATAGGTCGGTCACTATATACGGTGACGAAAATGCTTTAGCAGGTAAATAACTATTAAAAATCGCTGGATAAACATTACAACAAACAAAGTCTGAACACAGAAAAAGAACATTACAATTAACAAGGGCTAATTTGATAACAAGCCAAGAAAAAAAAAACTAAAAATTAACCAAAACCCTTTATGTGGTAAAACTATAACCATCAAATTAAGGGGTTTTGGTTAGTTATTGAGTTAAGTTTTTTTTCTTTTTTATACTTGCCAAATTGGGAAATTGTGTCTAATAACCAAGAAAAACCTAATAACTAAAAACTAACTAATTAATCTAGATTTAATGGTTGATATTTTGCCACATAAACTAATTTTGGTTACTTTCTTAATTATTAATTTTTTTTTACTTATTTAGCAAATTCCCTTACAACAAACAATGCAGTTTTCTTCACATTTACACCCCAAAAAAAACACAATGCAGTTTTTAAGAAAACAATAATTTCATTTTAAGTTGTTAACTTGCAGAACGAAAAGATTAAGGAAAACACAAGAGAGGGACATTTCATTATTAGAGTTTTCTCACATACTTTATTTCATTCTGTATGTATATTCGTATTCAACAATTAATACTAATGATGTTGACATCTTATACACATCCATAAAAGTTTGATTGATTGTGTTAGATTCTATTTTTTTCCATTGTTGCGTCTATATTATTGTGAATTTGTGATGGATGTATGGTTTGTGACGTATGATAGTATAATTAGTAAGTGTCGTCATGTAAGCATTTATCAGTGTGTCCATATATCATAATTTCCTAGTGAATCACGAAGTAATGCCCTAATGCTAAGATCAAAATAACGGGAACAAAAAAAAAAAAACAATGAAAATCCGATCGGGAAAATCTCAAATAGCTGAAGGTATAAATTTAGAGGTATCCACAATCAAAATTCTTAGCTCACCGACCATCATAACATAAATAATTGGTACTATAACGTTTATGACCAACACAAACCGATGTGAAGTAGAATTAAAGGACTCCGTGGTCTCATCGTGAGTCTCACAACCTGAGATTATGGCCCATTGGGCCGGCCCTTCGTAGAAGCGCATTGGTCAACGGCGTCGACTGTCGCGCGTGTGAAACGTCTTTTTTTCGGGAGCATGACACGTGTACGTTTAAATAAAAATATTATTTTTATCCTGCAATGCTATTTGCCCATCGGATCAACTTTTTCTACCACCGTTTTCTGTCGATACCAAACCTCACCACACGACAAAATAATCTAATAAAACCCTCACCTTTAGTGAAAATGG